TACATGGCACAACGTGAGTGATCTGAATTTTCTGTTTTGGCTAGGATCCTAATGTTTTAGTCTTGTTTCTGGATCGCACGATCAAACACTCCGAGTTTGGGACATTGTCGACGGGAAATGCCTTCACATTTTGATCGGCCACTTTTATTCAAATTATGGCTGAAACAAAGCTAAATTCCAGGTGAATTTGGTGAAATTTGATGGAGAACGGGTTGTATCTAATAGTGATGATTTTACCGTAAAGGTTTGTACAGTTATTAGTGCTATTTATAATATTCTATTAGGTTTGGAATGTACACACGGAGGAGTGTTTGCACACGCTGACCGGTCACACGAGTCTAGTTGCTTCACTTTTGGTGAGTTGAGTTGTCAATTTTTGGCTTTAATCAGGATTCAGTTTTAGTTTGAGCCAGAGCGCGATCTTGTCGTGTGGGGTTGTCGGGAAGGAACGATTCGCGTCTGGGATGTGCAAAAAGGAAGTGGGTTTTACTTTTTCACTATTCTGTTACAATGTCATCTATATTTGTTTCTTTCAGCATGCATCGCACATCTTGTTTGTCTTCAAGAGTTAGGGTTCCCAATTCACTTTGAGATGCAGCTTCACGGAAACATTTTGGTCCGCTGTTACGACTCGGACATTTGGGTATGTTTAATCAATCCTATCAAAACTACTTCCTTTTATTTAGGTTTGGGACATTCGTGAGGGTGGTTCATGCCTTCACCACTTGCATGGCGGAAATGGTCAGACGTCGACCATCACTTCATTGCAATTGCTCGACTCCGGACTTTTGGTGACAGGTTCGATGAATGGCTCGGTCAAGCTGTGGGATGTGAATAAGGGTATGATGTTGTAAATTACCTAATACTATAGGCAATAAGATCCAGACTGCAGGGTGGGATTTAAAGTAGAATTTATTAATTACATGGCTTGTCTCGTCAACTATTCAAGCTTAAATCTATGGCAAAGTTTAGTGTCTTGTTAGTTTTTTTCATTTTAAGGTACCTTCGTTCGTGATCTCATTCGATCTCGTTCGGGTTACCCTGGTCGTTATTATTGGGATCTCAAAGCCACGGGAACATTGCTCGTATGTGGAGAGGGGACAAAGATCATCTGCATCGATTTTGACGCAGCATATCCATAGGTATATTTCTATCTTTGCTCTTGTCTAGGCCTTATTGTGATTTTCTGAAGAATTCTGTCGGTTTTTCCATTCTTCTGAACTCTCATTGCTTGTTCCTTTCAATGATTACCTACATTTTATATAGTTGTATGCCATAGTCTTGATTTTTTGAACCTTTCTTTCCATTAACCTGCTGTTAGTCATTGACCTTCTTGAATGTTTCAGAATCGTCAAGTGCAAACCGTCTTTCAAAGTTACTATTCCTTCGAATTAGTTGGTTGGTTGCTGTCAACATTTGATTATTTTTAGTCCGTATTGAGTCCTGTGATTCTTTATTTGCTCGATTTTTCAAGATTCAAAAGATTCAAGATTCAAGTTTTTTTTCGAGATGCGTAAACAAGTCGATAGAATTTATGAGTGATTAGAAGTGAAAATTTATGAGTGCAATTTTCTTGCTTATCACCGATTCTCGTGTCATCACAAAGGGGCATCATTGTCTGAAGAAAAAAGGGGAAAAGGGGAAGGGAAAGAGAAAGAGAAAATCACAGATTAAGTCCAACAGATCGTAATTCTTAGGAGCTAGACAAAGATCGATCGTCAAATTACACGTACATCTTTCAAATCGTTGATCGTCGACAGATCAGAGACTTCAACGATCACTCGCGACTCCCAAATCATACTTGATTCTCCAATTGATAATTTTCGACAATTTCCAGGCCCATCATTCGCATCCCGAAGCAATTTCAAAACGATGAGAATGTTCTAATAATTGCCAGGAATTAATACGAATAATCAATACGATGACGTAATTTTTATCGTTGATGAGAGGAATTTTTACGACAACCTAAGCTTTCGTTTCTCTTCGACAATCATTCAAATGACGGGAGCCTGTGAAAGAATGCGTTGCCTGCTTGAAAATGGAGATCTTGATCGGTAAATAAAGTCACGGAGAAGTGAGATTGGGAGAGGAAGCACGAGAGACGTTCACTAGAGAAATGTTATATCCTTTTGCTTGTTTCTAGCTATTTTAGGCTTTTTCCATCCACTTTTGCAAGAAAACAAGACCAGGTTCCATCAGCAGACCGCAAAACATCAAAAACAAGTTAGATAAATCAGTTTAAACCCCTTAAATTCGACAGATGGATGATTACCAAAGAGTGATTAAATTAATTACAAAACAAAAACAAAGGATAAAGATCGATTCGCAGGTAAAAAAAAGTCTAACTGAAAAGAAGAGAAGTGTAGAAAAGTGAATGGAAATAGTTGGCTTGAATGGTAGATAGTTTATGCGAAGAGAAGTGTAGAAATCTTCTTTAAGTCGGACAACAACCAAGAACAGCATACCTTTTTGAAGCTGTCTGGCTTTCTGACTGTCTGTAACATTGTACTGTAGTGTAAATTGGCACTTTTTAAGGAAAGTATAATGTTACACCGATAGAGTAACCAATAAGTTTATCTTTAATTAAATTTATCTAATTAGCGAATAGTTTAAAATCTTACCCAAGAAATAAGTACAAATCACATGTTTATCTCAAAGAGGCAAACATTTTGCAGGGACACAAATCATGGAACATTTTAATTTGGAAGCGAAAAGCGTGTGGAGGCCGATGAAAGACAAGCATTTCGTGCTACTCTCCAAATACTTTCTTCTCAACAAGCGGAATGTGAGCTTGAAGGAAGATAGCAGTGGGTTGCTCGTATCTCAGATCCTCCCTCCTCGCTGGATTCCCACAGAAAGCAATGCGAAGTTTTTCATTGAAAAGATTGATCCTCACGAAGAGTTTCACACAATCCACAAAAACTCTGCCAATTCTCGTGAAACACTGAGAGCAACACATTTTCTTTCATCAACGAAAGATTTTCTTTGATAAATTCAAAGAAAAATATTCACAGAGTGCTCAGCAATTCTCCATAAATCTTACGACTTCACGATCAACGGTGATACGAATGCCACAATCTGACCGTTCTTCTCCTCGATCTTCGCGTTGAACAGCGTCACTTCGGCACCCCCGAGATTCGACGGGATGCGCCCCAAAATTTTTCTCTGTAAACGCTCTTGCGTTCGTGCAACAATCAACGCCGAAAGTGGGCACTTACACACTTGATTACGGTATAAAGAAAGAAAAAAAAGAAAGACTACGGTAGAGAAGAGAAAGTTGACAAGTTTTGACAAGCCCTGACAAGTCAGTTATCCAACCTCGTACAGTCGCGTAGTCGCAAAGGTTTTTGAGTATTAGTATAAACTTCACCTTACCTACGAGTATGTGCATAAAAGGGTATTTCATGGGTGAAGCGCCAAAAAGGGTAATGAAATTTTTGAAAAGTGGAACCACCCAAAAATGGGTTAGTGCACATTCTACCGTAAACCTCTTGATGACGCATTCTAAAGCCTGGCCCTTTCGTATAATTAAGGAGACTTTTTGCCATAAATTTCATTCTTTTCAATTCGTTTAGCAGCTCTATATACCGTAAATACTTTAATAGTACCTGATCCTCCTCTAGTGCGTGCCACACGCGTGGAGTGCTATTACCGTATTTACGGTAGCTAGTAATACTAGTATTTTGTTCGGGGACTTTGTAAAAAGACTAGTCTCAAACTTTTTTCAGTTTTCGTTTTCTCGGAGGTTGGGCGGCGAACCGAGCAAATGAGCTAGCGGGAATCACAATCAGTTCACATATGGACCTTCAAGAAGCACAGCAGAATCGGCAAGCACGCGAGATCGCATATGGTTTGGTTTATATAGTGCAAAAAGAATGGTTTGGATCTCGATCCTAAAGTTCACCTTAAACGGGTGCACTTTCCTTGTTAGAGTTTCGTGTAGCAAAATGGTAAGCAGGATTCTGTTAATTGAAACCTGTGAACAATCAAAAGTCAAACAGCACACCGTACATTAGAAAACTGTAGGCCTAAAGCCAGAGCTTTTGTCGGAGTGAAAATTTTCATCTGCAGAATCGAATTCATTGAAGGAGTCTGGCAGTTGACCTGGTTTTTTTGCTTTGCTTTTTTGCCAATATCAGTTGCTTGTGCAGTTTATTTAGATTTAAATCGGTGAGGTATAGATTCTTCAATCTTGAAAAATCGAGCAAATAAAGAATCACAGGACTCGATACGGACTAAAAATAATCAAACGTTGACAGCAACCAACCAACTAATTCGAAAGAATAGTAACTTTGAAAGACGGTTTGCACTTGACGATTCTGAAACATTCGAGAAGGTCAATGACTAACAGCAGGTTAATGGAAAAAAGGTTCACAAAATCAAGAGTATGGCATAGAAGTGTGTAAATTATCGGTAATCATTGGAAGATCAAAATCTAAATCTAATCTAATCAAACCACAAGCAATGAAAGTTCAGAAGAATGGAAAAACCGACAGAATTCTTCAGAAAACCACAATAGGGAAATAGCAAAAATACAAATATACCTATGGATATGATGCGTCAAGATCGATCAAGATGAGCTTTGCCTCCTCTACCGATCGAACTCCACATACGAGTAATGTTTCAGAGGCTTTGAGATTACAATAATAACGGCCAGGGTCACCCCAACGAGATCGAACGAGATCACGAACGAAGGTACCTTAAAATGAAAAAAAAATTAATAAGACACTAGACTTTGTCATAGATTGAAGCTTCAATAGTTGACAAGCCAAGTTGTGTAGTTAATAAGTTCTACTTTAAATCCCGGCTTGCAGTCTGGATCTTATTGCAGATAGCATTAGGTAATTTAAAACCGCATACCTTTCTTCACATCCCACAGCTTCACCGAGCCATTCCTCGAACCTGTCACCAAAAGTCCGGAGTCGAGCAATTGCAATGAAGTGATGGTCGACGTCTGACCATTTCCGCCATGCAAGTGGTGAAGGCATGAGCCACCCTCACGAATGTCCCAAACCTAAAGAAATGGAAGTAGTTTGCATAGGATTGATTAAACATACCCAAACGTCCGAACCGTAATGGCAGACCAAATTGTTTCCGCGAAGCTGCATCCCAAAGTTACCTGTGTACCTTAAATTGTGACGACAGCCAATAAGTGCGATGCATGCTGAAAGAAACAAATATAGATGACATGTAACAGAATAGTGAACAAGTAAAACTCACTTCCTCTTTGCACATCCCAGACGCGAATCGTTCCGTCATCACTACTACCCGACACGACAAGACCGCGCTCTGGCTCAAACTAAAATAGAATCCTGATTAAAGCCAAAATTCGACAACTCAACTCACCAAAAGTGAATCGACTGGCCCCGTGTGGCCCGTCAGCGTGTGCAAACACTCTTCCGTGTGTATAATCCAAACCTAATAGAATATTATAAATTGGACTAGTAACTGTACAAACGTTTACGGTAAATCCATGGCCGATAAATACAACCCGTTTTCCATCAAATTTCACAAAATACGCCTGAAAGTTAACTTTGTTTAAGCGATAACTTTAATACACATACCTCCGCCTCGATAGCCAAAATGTGAAGGCATTTCCCGTCGACAATGTCCCAGACTCGAAGTGTTAGATCCGATGATCCAGAAACAAGACTAAAACATTATGATCTTAGCTATAACACAAAATTCAGATCACTCACGTTGTGCCATGTAGACTCATGCATAGAATCAAATCCGTCAAAAATGAAGCTCTGCACCAGTTTTACCACACAAAACGCGCACTGTTCCATCAGACTCGCTACTGAAATCTTACAATAGACTTTGTTGTCATAAGAATCTTTGTTTGAATCTTTTTAGCTTCCTTGGCAAAACTTATGAATTGCACTAACTATAGGCTATTAACTAACGAGACAATGTATTTGCCATCTTCGCTCCCTTGATACGAATAACCGGAACCGCGCTGACCACTTAGAGTGAAAGCCGGCTAAATTCGGATGTACAATAACAATTAAACAAAACAAACTTGAGCATCTCCAGCATTCCAGACCCGCAACTTATAATCATGAAAACTAGTAATGATACGAGCAGACTGATTTTTCTGATACAAGACTTGATACAGAAGGTCATCCTAAAAAGCATCTTTTCGGTTAAATCATTTATTCAAACATCTAGAACAGTGCTTGATTGAATCGCTCGGGATCGCCAATTCGAAATGATTCGCTTCTTTCGCAAGTACAGCGACTTCCATGGCGAACGCTCATAACATCTAGAAAAAAATTCATTCCGCAACAAGTTCGGTCACTAACTGTCCATATGCGATCTCGCGTGCTTGTCGATTCTGATGTGCTTCTTGAAGGTCCATATGTGAACAGATTCCGGCTTGCTCATTTGCTCGTTTCACCGCCCAACCCCCGAGAAAACGAAAACTAAAAGAAAGTTTGAGACGAGTCTTTTTACAATTTCCTAAATATGAACCAGTTCATCTAAACAAACATTATCATATGTTTTCCCTCGCTTTAAATCTTGGTTTTCTTTGGAATTAATAACATGATTGTCCTATATTTTAAAAGTCTTAAAATCTAGCTTAATATAAATCTATCAGATATGTATTTTTAAGTGTTATATTAGCGGCTCAACATTGTAACAAACCTTGGCGCATCAAATTCCACATATCCGTTCTCGAAACATTTCTGTCGCCATGTCTGATCATCTTCACAAATCCGTTGCCACGTCCGCGAAACGCCAGCACAACTCATCAAATCGTGCGGTGTCAAATGGGCGATGATGCGATAAGCAATCTAAAACTAAACAATTACTCCCACAGGTTTCAACAAACCTCCTTTGGCAATTGTGCCAAGAAGTCCTTTCGGATTAATGGTTGGTTCCTTTTCGACCTTTTCGACCTTTTCGACATCTCCCCTAAATGAAAAATTATAGCAGAGATTAATAGTAATTAATAAAAGGAAAACCCCGAACAAAATACTATTACTAGCTCCTGTGAATACTGTAATAGTAGCACCCGTGTGGCACGCACTAGAGGCTGGTGGGGTACTTTCACCGTATTTAAGGTATATACACCTGCTGAACGAATTGAAAAGAATGAAATTTGTGGCAAAAAGTTTAGTTAAATATACGAAAGGAGCACGTTTTAGAATGCGCCATCAAGAGATTTACGGTAGAATGTACACAAAAACATATTTGGTGGTTGCACTTTTCAAAAAGCTCTTTTTCATTGCGCTTTTTAGCACTTCATCCACGAAATACACTTTTGTGCACATTCTCGTTGATAGAAAAAATCTGAGAAACTCTTCACTGAGCTATGCAAGAAAATCGACGCTTACGATTTTAAAACTATTATAATGCCAAAAAATACGTTAGTTGCATGCCATAATCTATCAAGCATAGGGGTGTTGAAGGTGATTTTATCAGGATTGGGGAAAATTACATTATCACCCCCCCTACTGAAGAAGCCCCCGCCCTCCCCTCACCGCTGGAGGATCGCACGATGCAGATCGAACGCGCCATCAAGAGTTTTACGGTAGAATGTAAACAGCGGGGGGGGGGCGATAATACATTCCCCAGAAATCCTGAATTACTTCCCCCCCTGGGAAAACTGCAGCATTGCCCTCCACGCGACATTGAAGTATCGGTCCCCCACAATTTTTTTTAATAATCCAGTGTCCCCGAGGGTTGTCCGTTATTGCAGCAGCCTTGTAGATTTAGTTCACACACGAAAAACCTTATAACACTACTTAATGAAAACAAATATCCCTTTAATACAATTATTTCACTAATAGATATTACATTTATTAGAAAGAATAAACTTTTCTTCAAAGATTCTCTTAAATTTCCCAGAAAACAGACTGCAATTCAATTTGAACACTAAAACCTAAGTTTATCCCGTAGCATTATATTTCTCATAAACACTTATACTAGATCATTTAAAACACTTAGACAAGACTTAACTTAATGTAGACTTGTCAACTTTCTCTTCTCTACCTTAGTCTTTCTTTTTTCTTTCTTTATACCTTAATCAACGGTGTTAGTGCCCACTTTCAGCGTTGATTGATACACGAACGCAAGAGCGTTTACAGAGAAAAATTTTGGGGACGCATTCTTAAATGCACTAGCTACCGTAATCCGCAATTTCCATTGCTTAAAGCCATTTTCCGTTGTTTTTCAATTCATTTTTCACCGTTTTGCTTTGCCATTTAATCGCAAATTCATCAAGATCAACTGCTACAACACAAGTTAAGTGTTTTTGAGTTTTTTTCTGGAACGGTTCCCTTTGTTTTAATGACTTAATGACAGAGAGATGGACGAACACAAATGTCACAAAACACAAAAGAATATTTAAACTTGTTAACTTACCAACCTTTCAACTTTATTGTTGTTTCTGTTGTTGTTTCGTTAAAAGTTTTGGCAATTCGACATTTGTGTTCGTTCATCTCTCTAGGTGCTTCCTCCAAAATTCCTTGCTCCATTTGCTTCTTGAGTTCTTCACTGTACTTTGCCAGTAGCTCAGGATTTCTCTTTAGTAGTTTAGTCAAGCTGTGCAGGTATTGCATTACCAATTTGAAGTTGTCATTGATTCGTGGATTTTGCTCGATCCATGGAAATTTGACGTGAACTTTTCCGTTGATAATTTTCACCTCCTTTTTGAATCTTTCCACAACTTCCTGCTGTTCCTATTCAGCCGCTTTTGCTTCAGGCGATTCATTGATGCCAATTCTTTCAAGGTCCCAGAAATTTTCTTCTGATGGTTGTTCTGAATGTTTGCTGGTGGAAGACTGGGCAACTCCATCACGTCGAGAATGAAGGCGTCAGGTAGGTTTTTGTCGAAAGCTTTCTTGTTTTGCGATAAAACTTTGTAACATTTCGTGTGAATTGAACTTACCGCTCCAATAGCTGTTCTGATCTTTAAATCTTTGGTTGTGGAAACTTGTAAGTTTAATTTTTGTACGAATCTTTTTGTAATAAAACTATCCGTTGAACCTGTGTCCAAGAAAATGTTTGCACTCTCATTGATTTGATAATCCTCATTCTTGGCAACAATTTGTAACATACTTGTGAGTCGAACTTTCCGATTAATTTGGGAACTGTTATAACATAGTAAACTTGGAATTTGAGTTCAACTTTTCGAGGCCTTATTGATGCTGTTTGCTGTTGAATTTTTGGCTGGATGACTTGCTGGCTCCTCTTTGATGGCACGAAAAAACTCCGAACCGCAGTCCATTTGTGAATTTTGAGCAAAATATCCTGTTGCGGCGAGTTGAACATATCCATTATTCAAATTTTCTTGAACTTGTAGACGACTTAAATTACTAGCTGTGTTTTGCCTAAATGTATTAACTCTATTACCAAAATTGGGACCTGATTTCCTGCACGTGTTTGTGTGGTGTTGTCCTTGGCATTTCTGGCACCTCGCGTGTCGGCAGTTGCGAGGTGCCCTCCTCCAAAGCATATGGCGCACACTCTTACTGTCCTCACGCATTCCATAATACGTTGAAGATCCATCCTTGACATTTCACGCCAATCCTTTGATTTGTGGTTGTTTCTTGCGCAGAAGATGCACTTTCTAGCTTCATTCTGTTGAGCTTTTGCAAAACTGGTGAAAGTTGACGTTTTTGCTAGCGTTCTTGATGAATCTAGCAGCTTTGCCTCTACATGTTTGTGTAAGGACATTTAACTTTACTAAATCATCCTGAAGCGTCAAGTGAACATATTTGTCAAAAATTTTCCACCAGTTATGCCAACTTTCGTGGCTACCATCAAAATCGGGTATGTTTAACGGAAAGTAACCTCGTTGAAGTTGAGCCATTCCTCCTCTCGCATCGCCTGATCCATTATCGCTTGCATTTGCTGCAATTGATGAGGGGCATTGGATGTCCTTCGCACTTGGCTGTCCAATCGTGACATCATTGACCACCATAACTTTGTTGACTTCTTCGAATTTTTCACGAGCTTGCTTCATAGCCAATTCCAAATTAAGCGTTAGGTCAAGTAACTTTTCCTAATCCTCATCTTTCCTCTCAAGGTATTCTCCCCATTCTTCAACTTCTTCCGAGTGAAATTTCGAAATTTCTATCTCGAATTTCATCTACTCTTTCCTTGTAGTTATTCATCTTCGCTACGTCAGTATCTGACTGCGTTAGCAGTTTTTCAATTTTTCCGGGGTTATTTTCAACCTCCAAATCTCGAATAACCTTTAACGAACTTTCCTCAAATGCTAGGCCACTATTTAGAGCTCTAGTCATTTGGACTTTGGCACGAGTTATCAACTTCTGTGCCATTGCGAACAGGACTCGATACGGACTAAAAATAATCGAACATTGACAGCAACCAACCAACTAATTTGAAGGGATAGAAATTTTGAAAGATGGTTTACACTTGATGATTCTGAAACATTCAAGAGGGTCAATGACTAGCAGCAGGTTAATGGAAAAAGGTTCACAAAATCAAGAGTAACAAAAATTTTGTGTAACAAAATCGTAAGCATTTTGATTGAAAGATTCTGTTAATTGAAACGTGTGAACAACGAAAAGTTAACAAGCACACCGTACATTTGAACACTGTAGGCCTAAAACCAGCGCTTTTGTCGGAGTGAAAATTTTCATTAAGATGTTGACTATTGGCTATTGATCTTCTTTTTATAATATGCACTATTGATAATGATCTTTATCGTATTCAGTGAAGGAGTTTGGCAATTGATTTGAGTTGCTTTTTTGCCAATATCAGTTGCTTGTGCAGTTTAGTTAGATTTAAATCGGTGAGGTATAGATTCTTTAATCTTGAAAAATCGAGCAAATAAAGAATCACAGGACTCGATACCGAGTAAAAATAATCGAACGTTGAGAGCAACCAACCAACTAACTCGAAGAAATAGAAACTTTCAAAGATGGTTTGCACTTGATGATTCTCAAACATTCAAGAAGGTCAATGACTAGCAGCAGGTTAATGGAAAAAGGTTCACAAAATCAAGACTATGACGTACAAGTGTGTAAAATGTGGGTAACCATTGAAAGGAAATCACTAGCAATGAAAGCTCAGAGGAATGGAAATACCGACAGAATTCTTCGGAAAATCACAATAAGGCCTAGGCAAAGAGCAAAAATACAAATATACCTAGGGATATGATGCGTCAAAATCAATCAAGATGACCTTTGTCTCCTCTCCCGATCGGTCTTCCCAAACTCGAACTCCACAGACGAGTGATGTTTCAGAGGCTTCGAGATTCCAATAATAATGGCGATGGTCAACCAATGGAATGAGATCACGAATAAAGATACCTAAAAATGAAAAATTCTTGCCTGGTTGATAAAAAATTAACAACAGAATACTAACTATCAACATATTTCTAAGCTTGAATCGTCAATGAATCATGTTACGTAGTTATAAACACTAGTCTAAATAAAAGCCTGAAGTCTGGATTTTCTAGACTATGGATTTTGTTAAAATACTCCTATCGGTAATTTAAAAGAGTATACCTTTGTCCACATCCCAGAGCATGACCGATCCATTCATCGAACCTGTCACCAAAAGGCCGGAGTCGAGCAATTGCAATGAAGTGATGGCCGACGTGTGACCATTTACGCCATGCAAGTGGTGAAGGCACGAGCCACCCTCACGAATGTCCCAAACCTAAAGAAATGGAAGTAGTTTTCATAAGACTAATTAAACATACCTTAACTTCCGAGGCGTAATAGCAGGCCAAAATGTTTCCGCGAAGCTGCATCTCAAAGTAACCACTGAGCCGTGACCCTTCATGAAAGACAATATTTGCGATGCATGCTGAAAGAAACAAATATAGATGACATTGTAACAGAATAGTGAACAAGTAAAAACGCACTTCCTCTTTGCACATCCCAGACGCGAATAGTTCCGTCATGACTGCCCGAAACGACAAGATCGCGCTCTGGCTCAAACTAAAACAGAATCCTCATTAAAGCCAAAATTTGACAACTCAACTCACCAAAAGAGAATTAATCCTTTCCGTGTGACCGGTCAGCATGTGCAAACACTCTTCCGTGTGTACATTCCAAACCTAATAGAATATCATAAATTGCACTAATAACTGTACAAACGTTTACGGCAAAAGCTTGGCCATCAAATACAACCCGTTCTCCATCAAATTTCACAAAATTCACCTGAAATTTAGCTTTGTTTAAGCCCTAACTTTGATACACATACCCAAGCAGCGACAGCCAAAATGTGAAGGCATTTCCCGTCGACAATGTCCCAGACTCGGAGTGTTTGATCCCACGATCCAGAAACAAGACTAAAACATTATGATCTTAGCTCAACAGAAAATTCCGATCGCTCACGTTGTCCCATGTAGACTCATGCATGAAATCCTATGCGTATGTCCCTGCAAAACATGAAGCTGTGCACCGGTTTGACCATACCAAACGCGCACCGTTCCATCTAACCCGCTACTGAAATATTACAATAGAATTTGTTGTCATAAGAATTTCTGTTTGAATCTTTTTAGCTTCATTGGCAACTCTCATGAATTGCACTAGCTATAATCTATTAACTAACCAGACAATGTATTTGCGATCTTCGCTCACTTGATAGGAATAAAGGAGACCATTCTGACCAGTTAGAGTAAAAGCCGGCTAAATTCGGACGTACAATAATAATTAAACAAAACAAACTTGAGCATCTTCAACATTCCAGACCCGCCACTTATAATCATGAGAACCAGTAATGATAAGACCAGGGCGAACTTGTAGAGAAATTGTGTATTTAAAGTCATCCTAAAAACCATCTTTTCGGTCAAACCATTTATTCAAACCTCCAGAACAGTGCTAGATTGAATCGCCCGGGATCGCCAATTCGAAATGATTCGCCTCTTTCGCAAGTAAAGCGACTTCCATGGCGAACGCTCAAAACATCTAGAAAAAACTCCACTCTGCAATAAGTTTGGTCACTAACTGTCCATATGCTATCTCGCGTGCCTGTCGATTCTGCTGTGCTTCTTGAAGGTCCATATGTGAACAGATTGTGATCCCCACTTGCTTATTTGCTCGATGCGCTGGATTCACCGCCCAACCTCCGAGAAAACGAAAACTAAAATAACAAGTTTGAGACGAGTCTTTTTACAATTGATTTCAAAAATATGAAACAGTTCATTTGAACATTATCATATGCTTTATATCCTTGTTTCCTTTGGAATGAATAACATTACTGTCCGATATTCTACAAGTCTGAAAATCTAGCTTAATATAAATCTACCAGATATGTACTTTTAATTGTTATATTATCAGCTCAAAACTGTAACAAACCTTGGCGCATCAAATTCCACATATCCGTTCTCGAAACATTTCTGTCGCCACGTCTGATCATCTTCACAAATCCGTTGCCACGTCCGTGAAACGCCAGCACAAGTCATCAAATCGCGCGGTGTCAAATGGGCGATGATGCGATAAGCAATCTAACATTAAACAATTACTCCCACAGGCTTTAACAAACCTCCTTTGGCAATTGTACCAAGAAGTCCTTTTGGAACAATGGTTGGTTCTCCGGCCTGTTCGACATCTCCCCCTAAATGAGAAATTATAGCAGAGATAACATCGTAATTAATATAAGGAAAAGTCCCGAACAAAATACCATTACTAGCTACCGTAAACATTGTAAGAGTACCCCACCAGTGTGGCACGCACTAGAGGCCGGTGGGGTACTATCACAGTATTTACGGCATATACACCTGTTGAACGAATTGAATGAAATGAAATTTATGGCCAAAAGTTTCTTTAAATATACGAAAGGAGCACCTTTTAGAAGACGCCATCAAGAGGTTGACGGTAGAATGTACACAAAACCATATTTGGTGGTTCCACTTTTCAAAAAGCTCTATTTCATTGCGCTTTTTAGCACTTCACCCGCAAAATACCCTTTTGTGCACATTCTCGTATGTAAGCTATCGACCATTGCAGTCATTCTGTTTCCGATTCCGATCATTTTACTCAGCGTTTAGTGATCAATGAAGATTATCACTAGATCAATGAGAATCTTGATCAATAGTGATTATTATAAAAAAGAAGATCAATAGCCAAGTCTACATCTTAATCCCCTTATTGGCTTAGTCGGAATGGAAAGCCCAGGTCCAGACTTTTATCTTTTCGACTCTTCTTTTCGATCTTCGGCGCTAGTAAGGTTCGAAAGCTATTGACCATTGCAGTCATTCTCTTTCCGATTCCGATCATTTCTCTTAAAGAACGGATCGTGAGTTTTTTTTGAAAAGGTTTTGATCGAATTTGACTTTTTTGACTGTTGAATCAAAAGAATATCTTACTACAAGCATAATTTCAAACAAAATCAGGCTAGATCTTGTTTAGATTCGATCAAAACTGAACCTTGGGAAGCCTTGGCCAGATCCCACAGGCCAGAGAGGCCAGTGGAATATTTACTATTGGTAATCGAACTTTAAGCTCTAATTTCTTTGAATTGGGCCAACGAATTTCAATAGTTTTTATACGAATCGATAGAGAAAGACTGGGCGCATCTAATGAAACCAAAATGTAGAAATTAAATAGCTAAACACCAAGATATTCGAGCTTAAAGTCGGATTGTCAATGGAAAAGACAAAGCCAAGTTTTTGAAAAGGCCAAATTCAAGCCAAAATCAAGCCAAAATCAAGCCAAAATCCAGCCGAAACCAATGGCCTTTATTTGCCATTGGTATTGGTATTTGGCTGGCTTTTCAGCCTTACTATTGAATTGGCTTAAAACTTTGGCTTTGGCTTGGCCTAGAATCAACAAAAGGAATCAACTTGACTCTTTCGCATTGGGCATTCGGTCTGAGCATTCCAGGCCAAATCCTGCAATTTGCCTCTCTTGAACAGTCTTCTAGTATCGATCTATCACAACAACACGAATTGCACGCAGCGTTTCATGCTTTATATGGGCATTGTTGGGTTGCCAACGCTGGTAGATGTCAAGATTTTGCAAGCTTTCGAGTCACTGATGCCGCTATTTAGATCTTGTATCGCGGCTGAGAAGGCCAATCCACAAGATTAGAGATTGGCAGACAAAGAAAATAGACAAGCCCAGGCCTGGAAGCCAGAAGCTGGCTTCAAGGAATCTGACCGATCCTTTTTCAGCAATTTCTTTACCCTTGGTCAAATGGGTTGCGATGTGACGCCTTTCAAACAATACAACAACATTCGTAGCATCAACGCTTTGAGATCCAAGTGAGCTGATTTGCTTTCGATAATGGCCGATCTATTGTTTGGTCTTTTGGCCCAAGGATGTGAAGCTTGATGAGGCTTATTGCCAAGCCAACTTGGCAATAATATAGCAATCTGGCACGACCCTCAACGGCTCTTGAGCGCTTTATCAACTCAGCGCTGGATTTCCCGGAAGCTGCCATCATTCAATGGAAAATGTGCAGTCTGTTCTACTGCTTGTACTCAAGATCTCGAGTAGTAACTGTGAGTTTCAATTTTAAATTTTAAATAAACTTTTTACGCTGTGAATCTCCTAGTTTCAGTATCGACGCTTCTCAAAGGAAAATATTAATTGGTTGATATATTTGATGAAAAGAGTTGTCGACGAGGATTTTGTCGTCAAAGTGATCTTCAATGCGGAGCGATCGGCATTCATTAGAGAGATTTCCAAGGCCAGACGTCAGTCCAAGTTTGGTCAGAACTGGTCATGAGCTGGTTGCTTGACCAACCTCTCCTGCTAACCTGACCTGATTTCTGTTGGTTAAATCTTACTATCTAGTCTTGTCACCTAATCTAGCAGGATCAGCTTGGGTCAAATCTAACGAATTGGCTTTGCTAGTATGACCTAACTTGGCATGAATCTGGTTCCTAACTCTGGCTTAGGCTTGGTTTAGGCTCAGGCTTAGGCTAAAGCTTGGACTTAGTGCGAAGGCTAGCGGCTAGCGCCTCGCACGAAGTCTATTTGGGTTTGGGCTAAACCCCCATTTTCTGGATCTCGGCCAGTTCTCAGAGCTAAGAGACAAGCGCTTCGCGATGCTCATGCGTTAGACTTAGGCTTAGGCTCAGGCTTAGGCTCCACGTAAGAGATCTGAGTGAAACAAATCTAATTTTGGCGACTGGCTTGGTGTTTGAGTTATTCTTGGCTAGCCGAGAACAGCTTTGCTTGATCTGTTTCTATCAGATCTATTTGATAGAGCTAGAACTAGAGCTAGAGCTGGTTACAGTTAGAGTATTCTATAGGTAACCAAATCCTAGTAGACCAGAACAAAAGGGTGAGTTGGCTTAGGATCAGGCTTAGGCTCAGGCTCAGACTTAGGCTTGGCTTTAGCTTCTCAAGAAATCTGGCCTGCTTTCTAAAGTCAGCTGTAAGTGAGTTGAATCTCTACCGTACTGCATCCATGTTTATTTGTGGTACAAACGGCGCCTCGACGATCAAGATTTGTATGCGGTTGTGAAAAAGGTTGTTGTCGTTTTTCTTTAAGAATTTTTCATTTACATCTTCGCCACAGTGAACCCGAATCAACGGCAGAGGAATTGATTTCAAAAACACTCTTGATAATGCAAAATTTATCCGATTACACACAAACACTATCTAAAAAATACCCTGTAAACTGACCAAAAAATGAAAGAAAAAGCAAGGAATTCAAGAATGAAGTGTATTGCATTGAAATATCGCTAAAAATACTGTAAGAACCCGCATAAAATTAGAAAATCGATGTGTCAACCAGGAATGTCAAACAGTCAAATTATCAAAAATGGAAGGCTTGAGGTTTAGGGTAAAGAAATTTACAGTTAAAGTACAGTTTTCTACTGAACAATCAGCCTAGTGCCTTCCAGATCTTACAATTTACTCAAAAAATCGTCTAGAAGATGAACGGAGAGGTGGTCACGTTCGTGTAATTGATCGAGGTCACGAAGGGTGGAGAGCTAAAAAGTGATCTAGATACCATAACATAACTTCTTTTTGTAGCATGAGATCCAGAATCTAGAAATTTGATCTTAAAAAGGCGATTAACCGTTTTATAGTATTTTATTGGACTTGAAGTCATAGAGAGAGCTGAATCTGCGATAAATAGTGATCAAGCTACAGTAACTCGATCTTTTTTTATGCTAACATCCAGTATTTAGATATCAGTGGGATTTTTTGGCCATCATGCTTTTTTGACGATATTTCACCTGGGTCTCGTTTGCTCCAACGGCGAGAAACTCGTAAATCATTGATCGATAGATTTGAGTGGCTGTTTTTGTGTCATCTGAACGATTTGTGATTGTTCCCTTGCCGTAATCCTTGCTTCAAGCCAAAATGCTGGTTTTTTTAAGACAATTACCGCCGCCGTTCCCCTTCTCGACAACATCATCAAAGTCGACGAATAACGGGATGAGTTCGGCGTTGAAAACGAACTGAAATTTGAAATTTTCTTGAAATTTCTTCGATCTGGAGCTCACAGCAGTATTTCACAAACTTGTTGCCTTCGAAAGTCCCGAAAATCGATCTCGGAGTTGCGGAGGAGGAAACCGGTGATCTGATGGACGATGGCGATCCGTTGCTGTAAAGTGACAGCCAGCAGGGATAAAGTAGTCACTGGCTGGCCTCTTTCAATCAAAATCGAGTAGTTATCCAGCTCGGCACAGTAGGAGAACAGCTAGAAATGGAAACCGGATGAAAAATATCGTTTTCCAGTTTAACTTGTACAGATTTCATTTTCAAAGCCATTTATCACCCCGAATAAGATAGAATTCCCAAAGCGAGTTTCGAGCTTAAAACTTTTAGAATAAGCCTTGTGCGTTCCAGAATGAACTTTGAATTCGAAATTGACCCACGTTAGGCACATTCGGGTCATTTTCTAGCCGTTTGAGCCAGAGGATTTCGCGGAGGAAAGACTCGCGAAGCTGCAATTGGCAGAGTTTCTCCTGGAAATGGGTTTTTTAAGTGTCGTGTGTTCTAGATCGGCTAAATCTGTAGAAAAATTCCCGTACCGAGTCGATTTTCGTGAAAAATTTCTTCTGACAAAGGCGCATCGAGTGGCCGCTGAGGTGCGGGGTTTTTAGAGCAAATTCCTCAAAAGAGTAGACTCGTTTATTCCATCCCTCGCCCAAAACGGGATATTTTGAGATAATTGATTGATCGATGCATTGGATTGAGGCTAAAAAACAGTAGATCTTGTAATCTAGGTCTTGTAATTAGTGCGGCAAAAAAATGTGAATTTTCGCCTTTTCTTTGTTTAGATTCTTTTAACATTAGTATATTGTCGTAAAAAGCTGTTAAAAGACCAACCATTTAGGCCAGGTATTCTTAATCCGTGACTTGTTTTGATTAACGAAGCGCCAAGTGGAAACACGAGTGAATCTAAATTGGTTTCATTTAGCTTTAAGAGTGATTTGGATGAAATTGGAGGGTTAGAAGAGAAGTTTTTAAGGTTTTTAGAGAGGCCTAGAGCTGAGTTTTCGATAATCTTCAAAAGAATGGCAAAGTTCGTTGCTTGGACCGTTACAAAACTTAAATGTAGCCAATATTAAGCACTTCATCATTTTCATACAATATTTAACACATTAGGGTTGAAATTGGCGCTTGGGAGCTATGAGAAAGAAGTCGCCGTAAATACTGAACACCTTGTGAGCTTATTGTTAGGTAGTTCTGGCCTGAGCACCCAAAATTGCATGCCGGCGCTGGCTGGAAGCTCAATACGGTCAGACAGTCTTGAGCCTGGCTTCTGACCTGGCTAACTGATCCTGAGGCTCGGTTGGCAAATCTCTGATGATCAGCAATAATAAATGAGCCGAGCCGAGTTGATGCCGATTTTACGGTTTCCAAGCTTTGCACAGAAGCTCAACACTCTAATCCCTCACAAGATTTCATCGTCAAATACATTTTCCAACCCCACATCGATAGATTCTAATAAGGGATTTTCGAGACTTCGAGCAATTTGGGGTGCACTAGGGAATCTAAAATCTGAAAACCGACCTGCCAACTGGAAATACTCATCCTCCAGCCACAAAGCGACTTTCCAGAGATCTTTTCGATAGTTAATTGCCAGTAGGGAAACAAGAATAATCAGAAAAATGATTTCTTTGCCCATTTCTTCAACATTTTTCAGCTGTTTTACATATCTGAAAGTTGAAAATGGAGGAAAAAATAGCGGCAAAAGCATAAATAGATTTTTCGGGTTTTTAGCTGAGAGAAATGGATATTTTGACCGACAAACGGACTTTTCAGCAAATCCCCAGGGATTTTCAAGTAAAGAAAACGAGGCGGCGATGAAAAATTGCGAAAAAAATTGACAGAATCGAGAAAAAGGCTTCAACAATCGAGTGGCAGAGTCAATTCTCGAATATAAATTGCAAATTTTCTCATAAACTGTAGTTTCCTTGCCAGTTTGCATTCGATTAACTCAATTTTGAGCCCAATTCATCAAATTTTGTTATTCCTTTGTCAAATGTGACTAAAATTAAGCTGATCAAATGGAAATCGGCGGTCAGATTCCAGTAGTTTTTGTGTAAAGAAGAATTTGAAAGAAGCTAGAGTGGCTCGCTAATCTAAACCGCTTTCAGTTTTCAATCTAAACTGCTTCCCTAAATCGTTCTCAACTCTCCAATAGCCTGTTTAAGTCTATATTTGGGAATTTTCTAGGCTTTTTAAACTAAAACCGAGAACGGGTGCAGGTACAGACAACTAGATTAAGCCATAAACTATTCGGTTGGCCAATAGTCAATTTCAAAAAGAAATCTTTTGTTCAATAAAGCGAGCCTAAATCAAAACAAAATAGTTTTCATCTTTTTCAAGGAACTTTCTCCTATTTTACCTAGTAGAAGGAGAATTCTTCTTGCGTCAATTTTTGAATCTTTGATTTCTTTGATTCCTTTGTTTCCTTTGAATCTTTGAATCAAAAATCTTTGATGTTGAGTCTACTAAAGTCTTTACTAATTCTGTACCCATTTTTTGGTATCTTTTTCAGCTTCAAAGTGCTCTAGGCTGATCAAAATGAATGGTAATCTGATGTTAGATCTGAGGAATATACTGACTAAGGGAGAAGTTCTCAGTCTAGGTTCTTGATTGTTCTTGGTTGCTTTAATATCCGACATTTCTCCAATAGTTAGGCTAGTTATTTTCTAAAGACTGTGGTCTTAATGATCTTGACGAAAGAACTGAGACTAGGATATAAAAACGAGCAACAGCAACAAGACTTCAACAGCGAATGAGTTAGATTAGATGAAGATTGGAGTTGGGTCGAGTTGGATCGAGTTGGATCAAGATTTCAACAGTTTTGCAGTAAAGGAAAAGGCTCGAAAAGCAATAAATCTCTCTAAATCGGTAATAAATTCAAAGAAGTGTCAGGGTTTGCGGGTAAATGGCTAAAAATATCAATAGAGTCAAAATTTAGAGGCTAGGAGTCGCGCCCGATTTTCCCAAAGGAGACATCAATCACCCAGGGAAATCACAAATCGTGAAGGGAAAGGAAGAAGGGAAGAAGGGAAGTGGTCGATTGACTTTGACTGAATTTTTTGGTATGAATTGGTAGAGACTTGGAAACGGTAACGATTCTATACATATTGTCAAATCGAGAATTGTTTGAAAAGCGAAAAGCGGCCATCGAGTAGCAATCGAATTTAGCCGAAAAAAACAGAAAACCCTATTCAAATGTCACTAGGAATAGTTAGATTAACTTTTCGAAAAGACAACACTCTTTTTTACACCCAAGAAGCGATCGAATCTCGGATCGGCCCTTCTCGAGATCGTTCAATCAAAACAACTGTCGCCGGCGCTCTCGATCAATCAACAAAATAAGTTTTCTTTTAAAAAGTTCTTTTTAAAGCTCTTTTAAGCGCTAGTTATCCAATGCGCTCCAGAATCCACTAAAAAGTATGTAAATTCTCGATAGAATCAAAAATTTTCAAGAAAATCTCTTGCCCTCTTTCAACCCTGATAAGCTAAAATTTCAAAAATCGTCTTTCAAAGTAAATAGTTAAATTTAAAGCTACTGTGACATCCAACTAGACGAATGGCTAACGGTGGGTGACAAATTTCTCAATTTTCAGGCAGAAATTGGCGAGGAAAAGACAAGGAGTGGAATTGGCGGGCAAAAAGCAAAAAGGGGCATAATTTGATGAACTAGATGGGGGAAAGGGGGATGGTTTATCATTTTTGAAGCAAATGGAGGCAGGCGAGGGGTGGGGGTGGTTATCTGTTGTTGGATCTACAACAGGCATCCCCGCGGTTCCAAAAAAAAAGGCGCAAAACCAAAATAATCACTTTTTCAGCTCAAGTGCGTTCCAAAACAAGTCTGCAAAAGTTTTTAGGATACCTTTTTGAATCCATAGCGCAGGAAATCGTTCAAACTCTTCCCTACCAGAACTCGAATTTTTATAGAAAAAAATTTCTATTTCTTAACATTTTCTTAATCAATGACATCCATAATTCGTAAAATGTTTTAAAAAATTTGGGAAAATCTTTGAGCAAAACATTTCTCGGGGTTGATCTTGATTTGGATAGGAAAAAAAACAGAAAAGCTCATTTCTCAACTCAAAACTGCTTCGAAATGAAATATTGCCCTTGAAAATCGGGGAAGAGTCAAGAAGACAAAGAGGAAATGAACAAAATGGGCAAAAGTTGAGGGTTGAAATTGTTTTTTCGAGATGCGTAAACAAGTCGATAGAATTTATCAGTGATTGGAAGTGAAAATTTATGAGTCCAATCGCAAATTCTCTTGCTTATCACCGATTCTCGTGTGATCACAAAGGGGCATTATTGTCTGAAGAAAAAAAGGGGAGAAGGGAAAGGGGAAGGGAAAGCGAAAGAGAAAGAGAAAATCACAGATTAAGTCCAACAGATCGTAATTCTTAGAAGCTAGACAAAGATCGATCATCAAATTTCACGTACATCTTTCAAATCGTTGATCGTCGGCAGATCACAGAATTCAACAATCACTCGTGACTCCCAAATCAGACTTGATTCTGCAATTGATCATTTTCGACAATTTCCAGGGCCATCATTCGCATCCCGAAGCAATTTCAAAACGATGAGAATGTTCTAATAATCGCCGCGTATCAATACGAACTTTGGGCAACTGGCGATCCCGACCAATCTGGCCCCATTTTATTTTCTATTCCTTCGAACAGCGTTCAGTTTTCATGAGAGGCCCTTCTCGTCTTACTAGGCCCAGATTTCTGTCAAATGCAAGGTCAGGGTCAGAAATGGGATTCCCTCAGAAGATTTTTGCTTGAGTTCATTTCCATCCTTTGTTTTTCTTTTTATTTGACCATCCAAGACTTAAGATTGTTTTAGTTTTCGATTTCAGGAAGTATCACAATGAATTTTTAGTATCGAGGTTTATGAACAAAATTGAACATTTACAGCTCAACATTGATGATAAAAAGTAAGTAACAAACAAAACCGTTGTTCCCTTCCACAAAAAGGACAGAATAAACGATCTTTCACAACACCTATTTTCTGCACAATCCGTGCTGGCGATTTCTTTTAGGAAAGCAGAAAGAGAGTCTATTCTAGAATTCTTATTTATAGAATTCAATAAAAAACTTGGGTATGATGCCACGTGAAATATAAAAATAAAACAAAGTTAAGTGTTGAAAGACCAAAAGTCATCCAAAAGTTCACCTTAAGTGGGTGCACTTCCCTTGTGGGAATTTCGTGTAACAAAATGGTAAGCAAGATTCTGTTAATTGAAACGTGTGAACAACCAAAAGTCAAAAAGCACACCGTACATTTGAAAACTGTAGGCCGAAAGCCAGAGCTTTTGTCGGAGTGAATTTTCATCTGCGGAATCGTATTCATTGAGGGAGTTTCGCAGTTGACCTGGGTTGCTTTTTTGCCAATATCAGTTGCTTGTGCAGTTTATTTAGATTTAAACCGGTAAGATGTAGGTTCTTGAATCTTGAAATCGAGCAAATAAAGATTGATACGGACTAAAAATAATCACAGGACTTTATGCGGACTAAAAGTAATCGAACGTTGACAACAACCAACCAACTAATTTGAAGGGATAGAAATTTTGAAAGATAGTTTGCACTTGATGATTCTGAAACATTCAAGAGGGAAAAAGGTTCACAAAATCAAGACTATGGCATAAAAGTATATAAAATGTGGGCAATCATTGAAACGAAATCACAAGCAATGAAAGTTCCCAAAAAATGGAAAAACCGACAGAATTCTTCGGAAAATCACAATAGGGAAAGAGCAAAAATACAAATATACCTATGGATATGATGCGTCAAAATCGATCCAGACGAGCTTTGTGGCCCAAGGTCCGTAACGCTCAACCAATCCAACCGCACAGACAAGCAATGTTTCAGTGGCTTTGAGATCCAGAATACAATTCTGATATTGAAGACGAATAAGGTCACGAACAAATTTACCTAAAAATGAAAAATTCTTGCATGGTTGATAAAAATTAACAACAGAATACTTAAGCATCAACATATTTCTAAGATCGAATCGTCAATGAATCATGTTATTTAGTTATAAACTCCAGTGTAAATAAAAACTAAAAGTCCGGATTTTGTGTCCTATAGTCCTATAGGTAATTTAAAACAGCATACCTTTGTCCACATCCCACAGCTTCACCGAGCCATCAATCGAACCTGTCACCAAAAGTCCGGAGTCGAGCAATTGCAAGGAAGTGATGTTCGACGTATGACCATTTCGGCCATGTAAGTGGTGAAGGCATGAGCCACCCTCACGAATGTCCCAAACCTAAAGAAAAGGAAGTAGTTTTCATAGGCTTGATTAAACATACCCAAATGTCCGAGTCGTAACAGGAGACCAAAGTGTTTCCGCGAAGCTGCATCCGAAAGTTCCGATAATCTTCGAACCTGAACCCTTGAAGAAAGTCAAGATGTGTGATGCATGCTGAAAGAAACAAATATAGATGACATTGTAACAGAATATTCAACAAGTAAAAGCCACTTCCTCTTTGCACATCCCAGACGCGAATCCTCCCGTCACGACTACCCGACACGACAAGATCACGCTGTGACTCAAACTAAAGCAGAATCCAGTTTAAAGTCAAAATTTGAAAATTCAGCTTACCAAAAGTGAAAGGGTTATATCCGTGTGACCCGTCAACATGTGCAAGCACTCCCCGTGTGTACATTCCAAACCTAATAGAATATTATAGATTGCACTAGTAACTGTACAAACATTTACGGTATAATCACCGCCACTAGATACAACCCGCTCTCCATCAAATTGCACACAATTCTGAAATTTAGTTTAAGCTAAAACTTTGATACACATACCCTAGCATCGACAGCCAAAATGTGAAGGCATTTCCCGTCGACAATGTCCCAGACACGGAGCGTTTCATCAAGCGACCCAGAAACAAGACTAAAACATTATGACCTTTACTAAAGCAGAAAATTCAGATTACTCACGTTGTGCCATGTAGACTCATGCATGTAATCCAATCCGTATGTCCCTGCAAAACATGAAGCTGTGCACCGGTTTGACCACACCAAATGCGCACCGTCTCATCCTGCCCGCCACTGAAATATTACAATAGAATTTGTTGTCATAAGAATTTTTGTTTGAGTCTTTTTAGCTTCATTGGCAACTCTGATGAACTGCACTAGCTATAATCTATTAACTAACCAGACAATGTATTTGCCATCTTCGCTCACTTGATACGACGAAGGCTGACCATTCTGACCAGTTAGAGTAAAAAGCCGGCTAAATTCGGACGTACAATAACAATTAAACAAAATAAACTTGAGCATCTTCAACATTCCAGACCCGCAACTTATCATCATGAGAACCAGTAATGATAAGACCAGGGTGAGCTTGTAGAGAAATTGCGTATTTAAAGTCATCCTAAAAACCAGCTTTTCGGTCAAACCATTTATTCAAACCTCCAGAACAGTGCTAGATTGAATCGCCCGGGATCGCCAATTCGAAATGATTCGCTTCTTTCGCAAGTACAGCGACTTCCATGGCGAACGCTCATAACATCTAGAAAAAATTCATTTCGCAACAAGTTGGGTCACTAACTCCCCATATGCTATCTCGCGTGCTTGTCGATTTTGCTGTGCTTCTTGAACGTCCATATGTGAACAGATTGTGATTCCCGTTTGCTTATTTGCTCGATTCGTCGCCCGACCTCCGAGAAAACGAAAACTAAAAAAACAGGTTTGAGACGAGTCTTTTAACAATCAATTTCCTAAATATGAACCAGTTCATTTAAACAAACATTATCATGTTTTCTTTCGCTTTACATCTTTGTTGGCTTTGGAATTAATAACATTATTGTCCTATATTTTACAAGTCTTAAAATCTAGTTTAATATAAATCTATCAGATTTGTATTTTTAAGTGTTATATAATCTGTTCAAAACTGTAAGTGTGTTACAAACAAACATTACCATATGTTTTCTCTCGCTTTATATCATTGCTGCTTTGGAACTAATAACTTTATTGTCCTAGATCTTACAATTCTTCAAATCTGGTTTAATAAAAATCTATCAGAGATGTACTTTTAAGTGTTATATTATCGGCTCAAAACTGTAACAAACCTTGGGGCATCAAATTCCAGATATCCGCTCTCGATACATTTCTGTCGCCACGTCCGATCATCTTCACAAAGCCGCCGCCACGCCCGCGAAACGCCAGCACAAGTCATCAAATCGCACGGTGTCAAATAGGCAAGGATACGATAAGCAATCTAAAAATAAACAATTACTCCCACAAGCTTTATCAAACCTCCTCTGGCAATTGTGCCAAGAAGTCCTTTTGGAACAGTTCGCTGAGATGCCTGAATTTGAAAATCTCACTGTTTAAGGTCATTCTCTTTACCTCATCAACCGAACTAGTGGCTCGGAGAGTGCTCCGACCAGGCTTTGAACGGCAAAGCTCTGTTGAGGCAGAGACTCAACAGCTTCTGTCAAGGCTTTTATCTTTTCTGCCGTATTTGCATCACCAGCAACTAAGAGCGCGTTCCGATCGACGAGAAGTTTCTTGGCTTGTTCTCGGCTCTCGTCGCTCCCTTCCTCGAGCAGCTCCAACAGCTTTTGGTTTTCCACTTGGATGTTGACCGGCGTTGCGAGCACGGGTGATGGCTTTGAATCGGGCTTCAGCTTTGCCGACAGTTTCTCCAGTAGATCCGCTTTCAAAGTTTCGAGTTGAGTCTTGCTGCTCTCCGGCTTGTTCGACATCGACCCTAAATGAAAAATTACAGCAAAGATAACACCGTAAATAATAAAACAAAAAAAACCCGAAGACAAGACTACTACTAGCTACTCTAAATATTGTAAATACTGTGAACGGGGGCGAAGAATTGTTCATTCGTCATTTTTAGACGTAAAGCTTGTTTTGCGTTCTAACACAAAGTTTTCAGCGCTAAATTTATTTAATTTGACTATAATTGTAAATAAAGCACCAAAAAACACCTTAAAATAGCTTAAAATCCCTTGCTACCATCCGGTTGAACAAAGATTTTTGGGGAAGGACGGCATTTTTTAAGCAGCACACTGTATTTTAAATTTGCACAATTTAGTGGGTAGTTTGAAAGTAATTGGTGTATTTTTTGAGCAGCACATTTTAGTGGGTAGTTTTAGTTGGTGTGTCGTAAATTATGATACACTTTATTTATAAGGGAGAACCTCCACTTTGAGGCCCTAATCTCGAAATGGTTTTCAACACCGATTCATGCTTGGGCACGCTTTTTAATGTATTAGCAACAGGGGACTAAATCAAAAGATCGCCGCTAAAAAAGAGCGCCATTTAAATGAGCGCCAATGCAAAAAAACGCTTAAATGAGCGCCAATGCAAAAACGCTTAAAAGAGCGCGAATAGATTTTTGCGACTAGAATGTTTCGGATCTGGCTAGTGCCGAGTTTTTTTCCTTTTTTTCTCTAAAAGATCTGTGCATGGTATAAAATGTAGCTAAACTAGTTTACCGTCAATACTGTAATAGTACCCCCACCCCCATAATGACGGTGCGAAGTGTTGCGTAGTCTAGCTTTGAACGCGTTTTTCTCGACACTGGTTTATGCTACAATGCGTTATCATGTTATCAAAAAATAGCTGAAATTCAGGGCTATTTTTTCATACTTTTCATTTTCAAAGACGCATTTTTTGAAACACGCTTTAAAATACGCTTTAAAATACGGGCGCTTTAAAAAAAATGAAATACTAAAAAATTTTGCGACTACGCGACTGTACGAGAGGTGTGGGGTACTATTACAGTATTTACGGTAAGTATTCTTATTACTAAGTAGTATTGATGATCCAAATCTAAGCACAAAGTATTCCGTTGCCCAATTGCTATCATCCAATTGCCCAAATCGTTTTCAGACTTCGCGGCGAGCAATGTCTGTGCAAGGGTGATCTTTGCAATTCCACATCGTCAACCCAACAACAAGCGATTTTACAAGCGCTCAATTGTTTTTGAGCTTTGGTTTTTTGAAATTTCGCCATCCTGAATAGCAGGACGCTAGTTTGTCTACAAATTTTCAAATAATATGCGAATTTGAATATCAGCTTACGGTAGCGGGATCATTTTATAGAAAAGCAGACTGCTTTGAGACTCGCATTTTCGAAAATTTGGGCATCCTGGATAGCAGTATACAAATTTATCAAAAATTTGTATACTGTTTGTCTGGGGATTTGTTTGCAAAAATTTCAGGTCCAAAAAAACTACCATTAAGTGCTAAAACTCTATTTGTGCTAGAACACAATTTTTCTGTAATGTTCAGATTTCTAGCTCCTTACGTGATGCAAAAATTAATTCGTCATCTAGGTACAAAGCTACATTTGCCGCATGTTGGCAAAGATATCGTAATATGAGTTAGGCGAATAGCCAGGGTGCTGTTGACTATCCAAAGGGGAAGACTTGAAAAGCCTATGCCTCTCGAGTAAAACCCAATATAGGGCTGCGAGTCCCTGTGTATCCTCACATGATGGTAACCACTCTTGAACTTCCTGGATTCAATTGAAATCATGTAACCTTGGTGAGCTAACGTGTCAACGTACGAGCCCAAATCTTCTATTTTGAATTTTGTGTGAGGCTAGAAAGTGCTAAAGTACCAAAGGTTTAAACTAAGCCTCAATTTATCTTTTAAAGAAGTGACGTTGTCTGGTTTTGAGTGACTTAAGCATTTCCCCAATAAAATCTTCTTTTACCTTAAGCGAATGTATCCAATCGTGTGCCCGGTGTTGATGCTCAGCACCCACGACGTTTTCCTCGCTCGTTTCCCCGTCATCAACCATCGTCCGACCGGCAGTCTCCATCGCAGAAGTGCTTCGATGGCAGGAAGGGATTTGAAGCTATTTTAAGGTGCTTTTTTTGCTTCATTTACAATTATCGTCAATTCAAATAACTTTAGCGCTCAAAACTTTGTGCTGGAACGCAAAACAAGCTTTACGTCCAAAAAAATGACGATTGAACAATTCTTCGTCCCGTTCAGGTTAAACACCCGTAAATCTTCGTCGCCCGCAGCTTCAACACCCCAGCGTCTTTTCAATCCTGCTGATAAACCTAACCTTACCTACGAGATGGTGCACTAAAGGTTATTTTGTGGGTGAAGCGCTAAAAAGCGCCATGGAATGGAGCTTTCTGAAAACTGGAACCACAAAATATGGTTTTATGTGCATTCTACGGTAGGCCTTTTTGATGGCGAGTTCTAAAACGCGCCCCCTTACGTGTATTTAAGGAGACTTTTGCGATGAAATTCATTCTGATCAATCCTTTTAGTAGGCTTATCTATAGTAAATACTCTAATAGTACCCGATCCCTACCCTACGGTGCCCTATGGGTAGACTAGCTTATCGATTTTATCGATACAAACGACATGCTAATGTTTGAACGTTCAGATCTCTGTTTCTAGAACAGCTCTCAATCTGAGAATTGTTTCATTGGGAAGTCAAGAATGTCAGCTTTTGATTGCTGTTTTATACATGGCGACTTTTAATGAGTAGGCACCTCATAAACCTGAAGGATACTTCTCGATATTTGTGTATTGTATGGCCTTTTAAGGCACTCACCTATGAGAATTTATTATGTGTGAGATAGCAGGTTTTTATTATGAATGGTGTTATCTCTGCTGTAATTTTTCATTTAGGGGGAGATGTCGGACAAACCGGAGGGCAGCAAGACTCAACTCGAAGAGTAAAGAGAATGACCTTAAACAGTGAAATTTTCAAATTCAGGGATATCATCGAACCATTGTTCCAAAAGGATTTCTTGTCACGGTTGCCAGAGGAGGTTTGTCTTTTGTATTAACTAACCTGACAATGTATTTGCCATCATCGCTCATTTGAGACACCCAAACACCACCCGTATGGTGGTGTTGGGACTTTCAGCATATCTGGATTTTTTTTATCGAAATCCTTTCAATCAAAAGATCGGTGTGGAAGAGTGCACTTACCCCTAAAATTAGCTCCACAAAAGTAATGTCCCATTGATGTTTTCCTTGGTTATTCTTTTTATTTTCGCGTTCTATGAACATTAAATGTATTTTATTTTATTATTTAGATGGCTGGCAAGAAAAGCCTTGACACTCCGAAGAAGCTTCAATCGTCAGGGCCCGGGAAAATGGGATGCGGGAAAAGGATGTGGCCAACCTCTTCAATTGCTCGATAAGGACGGTGCGCCGCATTATTTCTCGGTGTTATGTGAACGGTGCGATAAACGAGTATGTGCACAAAGGTGTATTTCGTGGGTGAAGTGCCAAAAAGCGCAATGAAATTTTGGAAAAGTGCAACCACCAAATATGTGTTTGTGTACATTCTACCGTAAATCTCTTGATGGCGCATTCTAAAACGTGCTCCTTTCGTATATTTAACGAGACTTTTTGCCACAAATTTCATTCTTTTCAATTCGTTCAGCAGGTGTATATGGCGTAAATAGCTGTGATAGTACCCCACCGGCCTCTAGTTCGTGCCACCCGGGTGGGGTACTATTACAGTATTCAGAAGAGCTAGTAATGGTATTTTGTTCGGGACTTTTCCCTTATATTAATTAAGGTGTTATCTCTGCAGAAATTTTTGATTTAGTGGAGATGTCGAATAGACCGGAGAGCGGCAAGGCTCAGCTCGAGGTTAATCCAAGTGGTTTAGCCAATATCCAAGTGGAACTGAACCAACCATTGTTCCAAAAGGACTTCTTGGCACAATTGCCAAAAGGGGTCTGTTAAAGGCAGTGGGGGCAATTGTTTAATTTTTAGATTGCTTATCGCATCATCGCCCATTTGACACCGCGTGATTTGATGATTTGTGCTGGCGTTTCGCGGACATGGCAACGGATTTGTGAAGATGATCAGACATGGCGACAGAAATGTTTTGAGAACGGATATGTGGAATTTGATGCATCAAGGTTTGTTTCAATTTTAAGTCGATAGTATAGCACTTAAAAGTACAGATCTGATAGATTTATATTAAGCTGGATTTTAAGACTTGCAAAATATAGGATAATAATGTTGTTAATTCCAAAGCAAACAAAGATATAAAGGGAGAGAGAATTTATGAGAATGTTTGATTAGATGAACTGGTTCATATTTAGGAAATTGATTGTTAAAAGACTCGTCTCAAACTTGCTTTTTAGGGACAATAATGTTATTAATTCCAAAGCCAACAAAGATGTAAAGCGAAAGAAAACATGATAAGGTTTGTTTAAATGAACTGGCTCATATTTAGGAAATTGATTGTTAAAAGACTCGTCTCAAACCTGTTTTTTAGTTTTCGTTTTCTCGGAGGTTGGGCGACGAATCCGAGCAAATGGGAATCACAATCTGTTCACATATGGACGTTCAAGAAGCACAGCAAAATCGACAAGCACGCGAGATCACACTTATGGACGGTT